AGATAAAAGCGATTCTTAAGACCTCTGCCTCCACAAACGTTTCGGAGTTGCGTGCCTTCATAGGCATGGTCATGTATTATTCCAAATTTATAAAAAACGTAAGTACAATATTAGCACCTCTGTATAATTTATTACGGGCTAACGTTAAATTTGTGTTGAGTAAGGAGTGTGAGATAGCATTCACTAGTATAAAACAGAGATTAGGTTCGAGTGAGGTGTTAGTGCATTACTCGCTGGATCTGCCGCTGATTTTGACGGCAGACGCGAGCGGCGTGGGGATAGGTGCAGTCCTCTCGCACGTGACGCCGGACGGCGAGCGGCCCGTGGCATATGCTTCACGGTCGCTTACCAGCGCCGAACGAGCCTACGCTCAAATAGATAGGGAGGCTTTAGCTATAGTATACGGCATTAGGAAATTTCATCAATATTTATATGGCCGCAAATTCACACTCAGAACTGACCATAAACCTTTAACATACATATTTGGGAGCAAAGTAGGTATTCCCTTAATGGTCGCGTCGAGAGTGCAATGGTGGGCTATTTTGTTATCGGGCTATAGTTATGAAATAGAATACGTCGCGTCGGAGAAAAATTGTGCGGATGCGTTATCACGACTACCTCAAACCGGTTCCGGGCGTTCTGGTACCGAAGAAATAACCTATTTAAAGTTTGTCGAGCAGTTTTTACCTATAACTCACGATGACGTCAGAGTTGCTAAATCTAAGGATGCCCTTTTGTGTCGAATTATGTTACATGTTCAATCCGGCTGGCAAAATAAATGCAAGGATGAACAGATTAAACATTTTTACAATAAACGTTTTGAACTGTACATTGATCGCGGTTGCCTTATGTGGGGCTATAGATTAGTCATACCTCAAGGTTTAAGAGCTAAGGTATTATCATAATTACATATAAGTCACATGGGTATAGTTAAAATGAAGTCCATGGCTCGCAGCTACGTTTGGTGTCCCAATATTGACGCAGATATAGAAGCAATCTGTAAACAGTACGAAACCTGCGCGGCCGAGGCGCAGGCGCCGCCGCACGCCCCTCCGCAGTCCTGGCCATATCACACTCAGCCTTGGAGTAGGGTTCACGTTGATTTTTACTGTTTGGGAGAACTTACCTAGTAGTCATAGACGCGAGTTCAAAGTGGCTTGAAGTTTTTGAGATGCATAAAACGAATGCAACGGCTGTAATAAAAGTTCTTCGAGCAACGTTCGCACGGTTTGGACTACCAGTGGAGATCGTATCGGATCAAGGTCCCCCGTTCACAAGCAATGAGTTTCAGACATTTTTAAATAATAATGGCATTCGGCAATCTTTTTCACCCGCCTATCACCCGTCATCGAACGGAGCGGCCGTAAAACGTGGTCAAACTTTGCAAACGGGCACTTAAAAAGCAAATAGGGAATCGGTCGACTTGTATGCCGCTATACAAACATTTTTACTGAGCTATAGGAATAGTGTGCATAGTAGCATAAGCGACACACCTGCGATGCTACTGCAGATGGGGTCATTGCGTTCGAGATTAGACCTATTGCGTAGCGACAGTGCTCGTGAGCAGTGCGTGCGGCGCTCACAGCACCGCCAACTAGCGCACGCTGGCGGTGTGCCGCGGGCGCTTGCGCTCGGCGATACCGTCTGGGTTAGGGGCTACGGAAGTTCAGAGAAGTGTCAAAAGGGTACCGTAGTAGGTAATGAGGGCTCACGTTGTTATTTGGTAAATAGTGATAACGGTCGACTGATGCAAAGACATATTGACCAAATTAGACGCCGGGCGCGAATGTCGGATGTCCCTTATCCTTCTAGTGTAGAATGTAACGAAGATATTGAAACCGGAAGCGGGAGTCAGGAGGGCGTATTACGCTCAGAATTTGGGTCGGAGGGGAACGTTGTGAGCGATGGTGAGGAAGGCTCATTCGGCACCCCTTCGAGTGACAAACAGGTGTCAGTACGTTCCTCACCAAACATTACACAGAGTCGAGTCCAGTGAATCGTCCCAAACGAAACCGTAAACCTGTTCAACGTTATGGGTTATCAGAATCAAATTAATACATCATCAATTAATGTGTTACCTATAAGTTAAAATATTAATGTGTTACCTATTAGTTAATATAAAACCTACCCTGTTGTAAATTAAGTGGGGAGGTGTGATGTATGTCGGTAGATCGTACAATATAAGTATGTACATATATATATTTTTCTATGTAGGTAGACAGTTGCATCTGCCACGTTAGATTGCGATAAATGCCTTTACGCAAGGACGTGTTTTATTTCTCATTAATGTTAACAATGTGCATGTAAATAGCACTAACACGTGTAAAATTCATGACTTCAAATGTCAAAAATTTTAATACTAATGTAATATTAAATGGGGCGGAACTTATTCTTGTTGACACAACCACTTTTCTTGGAATCACACTAGACGCGAAGCTTTAATGGGGCCCTCATATATCAAAAGTAGCTAGCAGACTTAGTTATGCAGTATATGCTGTAAAAATGGTTAAAAATCTTACCAGTAATGAAACAGCTAGACTAGTTTACATCAGCTATTTCCATATCATAATGTTAAATAACGTAACTGTAACGTAATTGTCGTATTTTACTATGGGGACACGCGACTGATGCCGAAATTATATCTGCTTTACAGAAGAGGGCCATAAGAGCAATCTAGTAAAGGAATTTAATATATTAACTTTGGTCTCTCAATAAATTTATGAAAATGTAATGCACAACCTGTAAATACTAGGAACAGACACAAGTACACTAGTTGTACCAGTTAATCGACACCAGCGACTCAGTAATTCAAAGAGAGCTGAGCCCTGTGGAATCCACTGTTTTTCTTGGCATCACTCTCGAGGCAAAGCTTCAGTGGGTCCCCATATATCCAAATTAGCAAGCAGACTAAGTTCTGCAGCTTATGTTGTAAAAAAGATTAAAAGTCTCACTAATGTTGAGACAGCTGGCTTAGATAATTTCCATAGCATAATGTATCAGGGGATTTCGCTATGGGGATTTAGAAACTATTTTTGTTTTACAGAAGAGGGCCATTAGAGCTATTTGCAACCTAAAACCGAAAGAATCTCTTAGAGAAAAATTAAAGAAATAAATATTTATATTGTGTAAACATACATGATTGTAAGCTGTTACATAAGAAACGTCCCGCTCGGTTTCTTATTGGTTCTTTTCAGGACAGAGGCTTTATTCCAAAACAGTGGTAATTAATGAAAAGAGTGACTTCCAATGAGTATTATTTATAATAAATATTGAAAAAAAATTTTTTGTTTCTGTTTCTACTTCTGTAAATCAAGACAATCTTGAGTAGATTTAACAACAAAAGAATGGGCGACCAAAAGAGGTCACCGTGTATACCGAATTGCTCAACTTTTAAACCAATAGCGAGTGGGAAATTCAGTCAAAATTTTATGAGTAACCGACGTCCACGGCATCTACATATTAATAGTTCCTGCTCATAGCCTCCAGAATATGATCTAAGAAGTCACACAAGTTTGAATCAATGCTACTTTTATTAATTGAAGCCATGCTGCTATGTAATTAATAACTTTCTAACAGCGGGGTATAAAGTATCATAAATAATTTTTGCAAAACGTATATTTTAGAGTAACCTCGAAGAGACGAATTTTGTTACCGCTTCTGAAAACGGGCACGATCATATAACGTTTCCAAATAAGAGGCAGATATCACTATATGAAGATAACTTAAAAACTCTACTAACGGGATTAGAAAGCTCTTTACAACAATATTTCAAAAACACTGGATAAGACCGTCTGTACCGCTACCTTTATTTATATCCAGTCCACGTAATTATCCTTCAATGTTACAAAAAGTGATTTTAACTGTTGTTAAATTGAAGCATCTTGTTACATTTGCATTTTAATATTGAAATATAATATTAACACTTAGGTTTTGTGACATTTATCTCTCTTGTTGACTACTTCAAAGGAAATTGTAACCCAATAAGTATGTAAGTGGAACACTCATATTTAGTATTCGACTACAGATATTGTCGTGAATAATTTCAGAAAATACTAATGCAAACCAGCATCGTGGGTTAAACCTAATCGTGTTCCAACCCCCACGAATATTGGCAGGGCAATGGGAACGCTGTCGCATATATCTGCCATCTCACTGCCAACCACATTCGGTGGTCCAGCCTTCGAAAAAGCAATTTCTCATCTTATATTTTTTATTTTTCTTTAAATAGGGGTGACAATGAGTACACATTGCATCTGATTGTTAGTAGACGTTCTGAATCAAAGACATGAGTGCTTGAATCACAGCTATCCTCTATAAAGAATCCAAATATAGAAGCGTTGTTACCCCAGAGGACTAAATAGAATGCTTCGTTACCAGTACTAAGAATCTCTGGTTCTCAACTCTCACCATACGTGGTATTCTGTAAGATCGTGGTGCTTCCCCCGTAGAGTTGACCCATTCGTGTTGCTACCATAACATAGGCATCGTTGTCGTGTATCTCTACCACGTGAAAAATATTCTCATACAGCTAGTTTACTGACGGCTTTGTTAGGTGGTCGTCGTTCCTACCAGCAAAACGCACTCGGATACAAATATACTCTGGGCTCAAAGTTCATTCTTTGATGAAGAGGTCAGTAATCCAACACCCTACTATCTACCTATTTTTTCCGAGCTTTGGTCCCCAGTATAGTTGGCTCCACTGCCCATCATAGTCGTGAATCCTCATCACCTAGTACAAGCAACAAGCAATTTCTTAGAGTTTGTTCGTTCAAACATGTGAAAATGTTATGTTTTTAAGAACAAAATGTATAATTATTTTTAAAGTCATAAATTTTTTGCAGTATCAGTTTTACTTAAAAGTTTTTTTTATATTTGTCAATTGTCGAATAACGTTATATTATTCGAAAATGAGTTTTCACGTTTCTACATTTACTTATATACGTATATTGTGCATGTAAGTACATAATTACTTCATATTTATTATTAGAAACTTTACGTACCTCATGACCGGCTTTTGTTAAATGCCTTACCATACCATCACCTAATATGGCATGGCTTCTGCCTGGCATTGAAGAAATAATAAGTATTTTGTATGCATCACAGTATAATGATGTAGCCAAAAGAATCGCTAAATAACAATAAAACTTGGGAGCCATTTTCTGAAAATAACATATAAAAATTTTATAAGACAATCTAGTCATAAACAACGTTACAAAATAAAAAGTTTTTTAGTTCTTTATTTCTTTTTGATGATTTAATTTTGGAATTCATTTATTACAAAAGAACCTTTGTTCGATTTGCCGCTCTTGTAAATAATATTTTTTTCGTAATTTTTGAATTGCACTATGGTGCGTTTTTGAGCCATTTTGGGCGTTAAAGAAAACAGAATTGCAGTGATTGCTTTGCTTTGGAAAGTGCGCATTTAACCATCAATTATTTTTATGTCGCTTTAAAAGCTAATGGTCAGTTCACACCGAGACGTGACAAGACGCGACGCGGCGCACACTTTTTAAGATCGTGAAACAAAATATTATAGCTTTATTTACTACACAAAAAGATACACATTTTATTGAGATAATTCGAAAATGTTCCGCGGTGTCGCCAACGCAGCGTTGCATCGTCAGTAGGCGCAGCGTGAAAAAGCGGTGCTCTGCTGGCGATTCCACGATGTGTCTCGCGACGGCACGGTGCGCAGTGCGAACCCATTGGCATTGTCGCTTCGCGTCGCGTCTCTGTATGAACTGATCGTAAGCATCAGTCGTATCTTTGTGTATTTCATTATTTGTAAGTTATTTACCACATGTTTATTTGGTAAAGACCATTAAATATCCGTCAGTAAGTGCGGACCAGGCGGGCTGTGAATACTGCCAACGAATATTCGAAGAAATCTCATATGGAAGTAGAAAATATTTTTGCGTGAAGTAACAATTCTCGCTAGGGCCTTTTAGAAAATTTTTAAATAAGACCTACTGGGCGCTTAAAATAAATATACATGGCTATGACCTACAACGCGTACTGTCCCGATACGCTGGTGGAAAAGACATTATTGTGGTCTTTGTAGATGAGGATTGAATAACATTATAATATATTCAAAATGACAAAATTGTTATTATAGCTATATCTTACTATACCTTTGCAACTTGTTGAAAAAATCAACTTCCTGCAGTAAATATTGTTTGGGGTGGGGGTGTCACACCGAGGACTATTGTTTTTTTCATCAGCTTTATTTTCGTGAAAATGGAGTAAAGCTATAGAAAAAAGTTAATCTAAAGAATGTTTTGGGCTATATAGTGAAACCTCTCAGCGATACACTTGTGAATTTTCCAGTAAGACTCTGCTCCTGGTCACAAGCGTTTAAAGAAACACATAACTACGGTGAATATAGGTGCAAAAGAAAATTTTCAACATCAATTTTCAATGAAACATAACAACTGCTAAATTAAAGACTACTGTTTTAATAAAAAAAAATACAAAGACGTCTCCATCTACATCAGATCCTTCCTGCATGCAAGAGTTCACCGTAAACTTTACGGGACTCGAGCAACCTTCGCTCAATCACCATCGGTACCAATGAATTTATTTTAAGTACCAACTTAGTACACTAAAACAGCACGCCGGACTAAGTGCTGCATAAAACTTTAGAAATGAAAGAAGACTGTACATATACTACACTGTATGACTGTATATATTATGTTATAGCTTATCTATCGTAAGATAAGCTACAACATAATTTTATATCGATTAAAAGAATGATTAAAGACTTAATTCTAATTACACAATCACTTAAAAGGCTAACAGCATCTTACATATAATATTATAAAAAACTAGTTACCTACCTAGGTAATGAATAGTCATGTATAGGAACGGCATTTTGCGAAATGATTATAGCAAAATGAGAAATATAAATTAAAAATAAAACAACAGATTAAGTAATGTGATAAATATTTTACCTCTCTTCAGCACATGAATATTATTGAACTTAAATAAAAAAAATACAATTTCTGATACAAAATCACGACAATAATGTGATCACCTACAATATGACTTCTGTAATACAAAATCAAACAACAACTAAAGATTATTTATATACATATACTCTTATGAGTCAACATTAAAGATAATGAATGACAAACGAGAAACGATAACGGACAATTATTAGTGACAGCGACTACGAAAAATTCATACCGAAACATCATTCAATTGAAAACCACTTAGGTTTTCAATTGAATGATATACTCGTAAATATTTTTATGTTAATTACTAAGAAGCGATCAATTCATGTCGATTTTAATTTCGTAAAGGAGAATGCCCAATTTTTGCCATGAGACGCCCAACAATTTGCTTTTGTTAAAAAAATACATCTTTTTTTATGGTTATTAATCGCGGTATTCATTTATCGAAAAAAGATTGGAACATGTTTGCACAAAAAAAAGTACCGAAAAGATAAAAATAAAATTAGATTAATCCGTAATTCATTAGTTTGTGGACAAATAAAAGTTTCAGAGAGGACGAAAACAAGAAGTGTTGCCTATTACATATCTCGTTAAAAAATCGATTCCCTTTTTTTCAATCGATTTTTTTGGTGTTATTATTATAATTCTAATATTATTTTTCGATAATTATTATGATGTTAAGATAATTAAACAAGCGAATTGCTAGTTGGTTTACTATGAATTCTTTACAGCATAACAAAAACGTTACTGTACAATTTAACTGTTATTCTATATCTATATCTAATCTTCTTAAAAACATATTAAAAATAGAATTTAAATAAATAAAAGAAAACATATATTAAAAGAAGTGCAGAACTTATAGCGCCTCAAAGATTTTTTAATGAAATTATAAATCGAATAAAAAATAGATTACGATTTATCAATTTTATGTCTGTTAAGTGGCAACATCAAATCTGACAACTAGGCCTCTGTCGTGTCAAAATCACAACTAAATAGTCACAAGTCGAATTAGGGATTCTGCTGTCAGAGTGATTGGTAGTAACACGTGTATCAGCGATTTTCGGATATATTTTTGTGTTGAGCTTCGTTAATATCTTTGCCGTCTTCTGTGTTTGTTATTATATAAATTTGTGTTGTGTTGTTCATTACTTATTTGTTGCTAAGTAGCGATAGTGAATCAATTTATGTATTTTTAACTAACACGATGGACGTTGACGGGGTGGATTCGGAACCACCGGATAAAGACAATCCATCTGGTTTCGGTCCCTCTAAACGAAAATGTACGGATATAAGATCAAGCATTCATAAAAAAAAGTTGGTCATAATGACACGCCTTCAGCGTCATATCAAAACATTTACACCCACCCTGATTTTCTAGAAAAGAAAAAATACACATATAGTGATAAAGGGCCTTTTACAATTCACTTTAAGCGTATAGAACCTGATCCTTCATCTGGTTACACAATCCGACCTGTCAAGATCGGCCGAATCCAATCCCAAAACAAGGATTCCAATATTTAAAAACAAAGCATAATAAATTTAGGTCGTAACAGGGTCTCAATAGCTTTTAAAACTGCTACAGATGCCAATAATTTTATCGAATCGTCCTTTCTTGCTAAATATAAACTATCAGCATTCATTTCAACCTTCAATGTTACCAGATGGGTGTTGTTAGAGGTATTCCAACCGACATTTCCATGGAGGAGTGGGTGTGTGAGTTGGATTTTCCCCCAGGTAGAGGAGAAATTATAAAGGCTAGGAGATTACACCGAAAAGTAAAGAAAGGCAATGATATTGAGTGGGTGGCCACCCAAACCGTTGTCCTTACATTTTCAGGCCAAGAGCTTCTTTCTCACTTATACTGCTACATACTCCCTTCCATACAGTGTCTGAAGTGTTGTCGCTTTGGACATGTAAAGGCTCAGTGCAGATCAAAGCCACGCTATTTCAAATGCTCAAAAGAGCACACTGGAGATAATTGTGTTACAAATATACCAACATGCCTGTTCTGCTCTGCTAATCACTTGGCAACTGATAAAAGTTGCCCTGAACATACTAGACAAAAAGGCATTAAATTGGTCATGTCCCAAGAAAATATTTCATATTTAGAGGCATCTGCTCAATTCCCTGCAGTTATAAGACCATACGCTGATGTAGCTGCATCTTTAGGGATTCCTTGCCCACCCACTTCATCACAACAGTTATCAAGTATTCACCCTGCTCCTCATGCTACTCAATCTTATAGAAAGACTGTTTTCAGAATTAACCCAACTAGACCTGTTCCAAATTCTGTAGGCTACGATAAGGTAGCACACAACAATATTGTAAGAACCCCTACCTCTTCCGTTCCAAATGGTCATGATCTTCAAGCTAATTTATCCCCTAATGATAATCTCCTGGAAGACCTTGTGTCCTCCATTTCTGATATAATTGGCAAATTTGATGATATACACCTACTATATTATAAAATTCAATCGCCTCCACATCTTCCAGTGGAACTGTCCGAGCATCAAGAACAAGAAATCTGAACTAACTAATTTGATAAATACTCATAACCCCTCAGTCATTGCTATTGCGGAAACCTGGCTAAGACCTGGTTTCAGATTCAGAATCTTCGGTTTAACGTGCATCCGTGACGACTGCAGCGATGGCTACGGTGGCATTATGATTCTTCTAAATAGAAATCTTACCTCTTGCTCAATTCCCCTTCCACCTCTGCAAGAGAATATTAATGCAACAGCTGTAAAAGTAATGGACATCACAATTGTGTCAATATATATTTCCAATACTACTCCTGCCTGTATCCCAGAGCTTAACTTAATCCTGTCTAGCATATCTCCTCCTTTTATTGTAATTGGGGACTTTAATAGTCACAATGTACTGTGGGGTTCTCATAAAATTGATTCTTGCATTTTGAATAATGGGTCTCCCACCCGCATGGTCTACCCTTCTCAAAGTCCTAATTCTGTTGTAAATCTATCCCTCTGCTCTGCTAATTTAGCTGCAAGTATCAATTGGAACACTCTATCGTCCACCTTTAGTAGTGACCACTTCCCTATCTTTTTGTCTTTGTCCAGTAGAAGCCTTCCTACTAGGAATAAATCATGAATCTCCAAGTTTAACGTGTCCAAAGCCAACTGGGATGTATATGTTGCTGATATAGAAAATAAAGCTCATTCTCTCCCTCCAGTATCTCACGTTAA